GTGCGAGAGGACAAGATAAAGCAGCCCTCGGCGAGGCTATGGTTTGGGGGGGTAGGATGGCTGCCTATGAAGGGGGTTACTTCTCCCTCCACCAGGCCATCCCACCACCCCAAAACCATAGCCTCCCCCTTGATTGGCGGCCATCTCAGCAAGGGCCTGGTTGATTCTCTTCATATAACTTTCTTTCTTGAAATCATGCTTGCTGGTGATAAACAACCGGACTGACGAGATGGGGCTTTGTGTTCTTTTTGTTAAAAAAAAAAAAAAAAACCGTAAGGAAAAGAGAAAGCAAGAGAATTTCCGAAACACGAAACAGTCTAAACCGATTCTCTCTCTCTCCCTCTCTCTCTCTCTCTCACACACAGACACACACACACACAAAAAAAAAAAACAACAACACAAACACACATGGCCCGGCCCCCCCTTCCCCCCCCCCCCACACATATGAGTCACTATCACGATGAATATCATGAGTCAGCACTCTTTCTCTCTCTCTCTCTCTCTCTCTCTTGAACTATTAGTTGGGCTTTTCTTATGGTTGCGTTTACTTTGTCATTATCACTGGTCGGTCGATCCTGCTCTGACGATACTGAGACTGTAGAAGGCAGATAGCTTCGAGAGTCTAGAGAGAGAAATCAGCGAATCATTATTGCAACAAACCTCTTTGATTGATTGATTGATTGATTGAGTTCAGTCATGTATGGAGTCGCGATTGGCCCTACCCTGAGAGGAAACATGGGCAACCCATCGTCGTGGGAACGTTGGAGTTAAGTCATTTATGGAAGCTAGAAGAAACAAATGTCCCTGTGAAGATTTTGAGCTTGTAGAAAGAAAAAAATCAGAGGAAAAGAGGGTCATTTGCCATTCCAGACACTGAGTGAGCTCCAACGTCGCAGACATACATGCATACAACGAAAGGGGAAAAAAAAAATGATCTCTATGTATCTATTAGTGTATGAATGTATGTAGGGTAAGTTAAAAAAAAAAACGCATCGCGGTAGAGTTTCACATCAAAAAAAAAAAAAAGTCGCGGCCCAAGTTTCGTTGCAAACATATATAATTTGTTGCAGCGTTAGAGTTCCCGGTAGTTTCACAGAAAAAAATATATATATTTGCAGGTGGGGTCCCACTTTCATTGCAATTTTTTTTTTGATCTTTTTGGACCCGTACAACATTTTTGCGGCGAAACTTTGAAAAACGGAAATTTCTACAATCACCCCATGTATGTATGTATGAATTTATGAATGTATGTATGTTTCTTAGTATCTATGTATGTAGGTCTGTAGGTATGTATATCCAAATGCATTTATGTATGTGTTTTTTTTAAATTGTGTATTCGATCTTAATAAATAAGTAAGAAGATAAAAAATGAATTGATATCTTTTTTGTTTCCTTTTGTTTGTTTGTTTTGGCTTTTGCGCTCTGATAACTTTGTGTCAATATATATGAATGTATGTATGTATGCATTTATGAATGTGGTTTGTTGATTCTTATTCGATACATTCCTGGAGGTCGATTGCTTTTTTTTTCCCTGTGGTTTGTCAACATTTTATCAACCAGTCAATCATCGATGACCGAGGAATTAGGTAATTAGCATTGCACACAAGGATGCATTCTAAACGTTTTTTTCTTTTTTTTTGGCTTTTTAAAAAATCGATTCACACAGAAAAATAAGCAAAATACGAAGACATGAGTCAGCCAACTTTTATGTTCTGCTAATTGCTCTCAGGCTTCCCAGCCCTGCTGATGTGTCATGGCCAACAGACCTGCTTTGCTTCCAAGATTTTTCCCTTCCTCCCCCCCCCCCCCCCCCCCCCCTCCCCCCCTCCTTTCATTTTTTACTGATTCGTGTATAATTGAGGATACACTTACTGGATTTTCGTGCATGTACCTGGCCGTAACTCAGTCCAGGAACCGCTGGTGTGAGTATATGCCCTTCCCTGCCCCCGAAAGTTTTTTCTTTCAAGTCAATCAATCAATCAAGTTAATCATCAATCAATCAATCAAGTTAATCATTAATCAATCAATCAATCAAGTAAATCAATCAATCAGGTCAATTGATCAATCAATAGATCAAGTCAATCATCAGTCAACCAACCAATTAACGAATCAATCAATCAATCAATCAATCAATCAATCAATCAATCAATCAATCCTATTGTAACGAGATGTTGTTTTGCCTCCTAATCGATCAAAATCAAATCAATCAAATCATTGTCTTCCTCTCATCGTCGTCGCCTTACGGCAGAGTAGCAGCATGCCTGCCAGGTGAATAAATGCTTGGTCGACTCATTGCACGAATGATACCTCTACCTGTGTGCTTTCAGCGTCTACAGGTGCGCCACGGTCTTCCCCGAAAGGAATTTTGAATGCATGGTCCTTATTGCTGTTTTTGGCACAACCTGCAAGATACAGCTACGATTACTGTGCATGCTTTTCTCCATGTTCGGGTGAAGAGGGGTGGCGCTACCAGATGTTTCCTCTTTGTTTTTTTTGTGTTTTTTGTTTCTTTGTAACGGCCTTGAGGTATCATTATAGAGCTGACCGGCCCTAGGTAGTTCAGAATTCTAGTATTTTAGTCATCTGCTCTCTGCGGAGTTTGACTCAGGTCTGTATTTCAACAGTTCAGGGGCCGAACCTAGACCCTTGAGGTATCATTATCGAGCTGACCGGCCCATGAGGAAATCCTCCTTGCAGTCTGTTATTCACTTGCGGCGCCTGAACCGAGACGTTACCACTCTCTGTCTGCATTCGGGCCGCGAATCATCATGAGCTGCTGAACAGCTACAGGACCACCTTTCTAGGCCTGAGAGAGTCGCTAAAATAACCCTACCGGGTCCCTAACGAATTCTACTTATGCCCCTGCAGGAACTATGAACTCGGGTATGTCCTCCTACCGCTAAATTTCATACCTGCCCTTGACCCTGCACTTACTCACTAATCTACCGGTGCCCGAGGGACAATTGTAAGACAAAAATCAGAGTTAGCAATTTAGCGCACAGACTCAGTCCGTAACAAATTCTACTTATGCCCATTTCCCTTTCACATTTCTCGAGTGGCGCCACAAGGTGCTAGATAGGTAGCTTTTTAGGTTTTCATTTCGTTAGTGGCACACCATCTTCCTCCCCCCCCCCCCCCCCCCCCCCCATGGAGTAACAGCAGTGTCTAAGGGCCTCGCCGCACTACTCATCAAACACATTTTTTGGTGAGGTAGGCATGGCCACACCACCTCTCACCGATTCTCTTTCGTCAGAAAGTAGTCCGAATTCGTGCGGATTTCAATTGGCGAGGGCTCATAAAAAACGCACCGACTACCAGACTGCAAATCGTCCATTTGGTAGGAGCTTTTGGGGCACACATGAGTTTGGTGAGTTTTCCACTCGTCCAGACTGCTGGTCTGGACAGAACTTTCGGCCTTTTCCTTTGTCTTTGATGAGCCTGTCGGGGACACGATCCCTTCGATCGGAAACAGAAGTTTGGTGAGGTGGTGCCGCGAGGCCTGGGTTTGGCGAGGTTTTGAGTCCTCGCTGTGTTGGTGATCACTCACCAAACATTTTCAAGATTGGTGAGTAGTGCAGAGAGGCCCTAAGGCCAACACCGTACGCAACACACACACACACACACACACACACACACACACACACACACACACACACACGTGTGTTGTTTCAAGACCCTGCTAATACTGATCAGAGGGATCAAGTGGACTATCACAGCTGGTTGGCAATATGAGTGCGCTGCTGGCGTTCATGGGGCTCGAACCCATAACCTCCTGAATGCCATTTGCCTTTGGTTAGGCAGGCAAGTGGCATTCAGGAGGCTGTGGGTTCGAGCCCCATGACCCCCTGCAATGCACTTAGTGCCAACACGCTGTGATACCCTCTTTGATCCCTCGGATCGGTATTAGTAGGTCTTTGGCCAACACACGTGTGTGTGTGTGTGTGTGTGTGTGTGTGTGTGTGTGTGTGTGTGTGTGTGTGTGTGTGTGTGTTTTGTTTTTAAAGACCCCGGATTCTCTCTCTCATTCCCTTCACAGATCATCACAAGCCATCCATAACGAAAAAAGTATAGATAGGCAATATAATAGAAAATGCAAGGTTGGCCACGTTTGTGTGGTTCAGCGCCAAGTGCCCACACACCCGTCTGCCGCCAAAGCGCCACACTTGCACATATACGTCATACATATGTATACATAGTCAAACAGAGCTGCTTGGTAAACCTATATATTTCAAACCATAAGGGGATGGAGGGTGAAGGCAACTTACCTAAGATAGAAGGCTACTCCAGCAAGAAGGCACCCACCCGACCCCCTCGAAGGGGTCCGAAAAAACTTGGAGAGCCTTCTGCATCGGCCCACAAAACCGAAAACTCCTTTACCAAAACCAATCAAATATAACAGCATTGGAATTCCCGACATTCATCTCAAACTACACACTCGCGTCACTGCCGAAGAGGGGGAAGAAGATAAGAGACAAATTACCTAAGACGAAAGAGTCCTCCAGCAAGAACGCACCGACCCCCCGTGCTAAGGGTCCCAAAAAACTGGGAAAGCCTTCCACACCGGCCCACAAAACATACATTCCCCCCAAAGAGAACTCATGGCCACCCGTAAACATCCAAACAGCCCATGCTGTAAAGCAGGACAAAGAATTAGGCCGTATATAATCAACAAAACCAACAAGGCATATCTACCCACAAAAAGAGTGAATAGCTCACTAGTACGAGCCCGATCCTAGCCGCTCAAATCTGCTAAGACAGAGAGCTAGCAAGACCGGAATGTGTGTGTGTGTGTGTGTGTGTGTGTGTGTGTGTGTGTGTGTGTGTGTGTGTGTGAGAGAGAGAGAGAGAGAGAGAGAGAGAGAGAGAGA